TCCAGGAACAGATGCCCTGGCTGTTTGGGCCAGAGCCGGCCTCTCCTCTGTCTATGTGAGGGTGGGTCATCGCAGCATGGCTAGTGTTTCCTGATGTTCACCTGGCTTCACCCTTCTCCACCATGTTTCAGGTCTGAGGATCTGGAATACATTTACAATCAACTGAGAACGATAAAAGTGAGGGGCATGGCTGGGCTCCTGGACAAGCTTCAGAGCAGCTACTTCCCAGCTTTTCAAGCCATGTTCAGAGATGTCGTTGCAGGTGAGGACCAGCAAGTATTTTCATAAATACGTTTGACTGAAATTTGGTATTTAATGCTGAGTCATCATCTGTCTCTGATTTCAGCAGCTTCCAGTCCTTCTAACCTTGCACCCTGACTTAATCTGGTATAGTGGCAAGAATTCCAAATCTCAAAGCAGGAAAGCAGCTACCCTGTGCTCTGTTTTATTCCTAGTGCTTTGTGACCTTGGCAAAGTCACCCAACCTCTCTGAGCTTTTGTGTGTACCATGATTATGATGCACACATTAACCCTGGACTTCCTGGGCCACTGTGAGATGTTATCAGTGGCAGTACTATATTGACTGTACTGAATTGTCCAAACGCATATTGTAATTTCTCACCTGGAATCCGGAATTCAGGTTCCTCCACCCCCAGCTCCTTGAGAAGTTTGTTCCATTTCTAGCTCCATTCTGCTTGTTCTGTTTCTGCTGTCAGACAGGACTGCAATTTCCTGGCCATCTGAGCACCAGGCAAGATCCACCCTGTCAAAATTGCAAAGCCAGCAAAGTCTATAATTAGAAGTAGGTAAATTTTTTCAGGCTCCATCCCCTCTCCCAGTGTACTTTCCTTCTTTCCTTTCTCCTATCAAACCTCCTCCCAGCTCTTCAGTATTATAGGTCAGAATGTACTTTTAAAAAGGTACTTGCAATTTCTTATGATTTAAGCTTAATCCAAGCAGTGATGTCCAAACCCTTTTTCTCTTCTGGAAAGACGAATTTGCTCTGTTAGAGGTGAGAGAGCCCTGTGTCTGGAGCCCACTAGTCCCACCTTGTCCCACCTTCTCTTCCTCATGCCTTGGGGTTTGGAAACCACTCAGCTAAAGGGGTGAAAGTTCCAGTGGGGAGTTTCTGACATGTGCTTATACAGATAAAGTAGCATAAGTTACTAGTCTTTCAGGTCCTTCTGGGCCTTAAAATCTTATCACAGAGGCCACTCTACCAGCACCTGAAGCTGGCTTGGAATGCAGGCCCTCTTGAGGCCCTAGTTTATTGCTTTGCTGAGGGATTTTGTGTCCTGGAGGAATCAATAGTTGTTCCCAATTTATACTTCATTCAAATGGGACAGGTGTCCCCAGAGTGGTGTGTTTACCTCTGTTGCTGTGAGGGATGACGGTGGGAGACCTATGGACAGGTCTATTAAAAATGCATGAAAGGGCAACTGTTTTTAGCAAGTGACACCAGTTTTCATTTGTGGTAGTGATTTGAAGTTTTCATTTTATATGATTTTATTTATCAATTTAGAGAAAAGTATTGGGTACTACAGGTAGTAAGCAGACATGACATACCAGAAACGAGGGATGCAAATGACTGAAATCTAGAGCTCTGAAATAAAATAACAGGTAGTAAGAAAAGTAAAAAGTATATTTATGAGTTGGCTCTTTAGAGCCCCAGATATATTTTTCATGTTAATTGATCCATAGATTATAATCATTCATATTGATTAATAGTTATAAAAGAATTTGGTTCTTTTACAGTAGAGGATATGCTGGCAATGAAAAGAAATTAGAAATAAACAATACCATTATAATAATACCAGATACACACTATTATAAAATTAGAAATCCTTTAAATATATAGCTTACTTCCAATGATGGAAGAAAAGAAATGTTGATTAGAGAAGTTAGGTAGACTTGGCCTGAAATTTTGGTAGTCACCTGAGAATAAAAAGCTTTTAGAGGCTGGTGGTGGATTTTCTCATTTCTAATTCAGTTTCAGAGCATCTGTCTTGCTTTACCCTAAGTAAATGTATTTACATGTGCATTATCATTATTAGTCTCAATCAGGAAGTCCTTTGGCTACTGATGGACTGAAGAGGAGGAAAGGAGAAGAAATATTCCTGGATTAGCAGGCACAGATTAGAATACAGTGATACATAAAGAAGGTGGTTAAAATGACATAAGAAAAAGTGTGGGAAAAAGATTGTCTGCGTGAAGAACCTTGGAAAGCAGGAAGCAACAGAATCCTGAAGGGGAGAAAACAGGGCAATGAAGACTAATTAGGGAGTTCTGTCTCTGGCCTCTAGGGGCAGGATTGCCTAGAACAGCCTGGTTGCCAATCCAAGATCTTTTGTAGGCAGGTATGTAGAAGAGAAGTCAAAGTCCAGTAGTATGGTGGAACTAGCCCGGACTGGCTAGCAGTTTCTCGTGAGAGCCTGCTGTCTGTACCTCTTTTCAACCCCCCTGTCCAACACTCAGTGAAGTCAGTTTAGTAGCTTGAAATCACACATGGTGGAAAGATTGGGATTATTTGCACCACAGAAACTGGCAAATGCTACAAATGAAGGCTTTTGTCCCCAAAAAGCCTGTTGTTAAAGATTTACCAGCAAACCACTAAACATCACTGTGCAACAGGCAGTTTATATTTGGATTTTTAAAAGGTGTGTATTTAACTCTGTTCATCTCTTCAACTACCTTGTGATCAAAGGTCATTGCACCCTGAACTGGATAAGCCAACCCTCAGATATTTGTGCACTTAAAAATTAGGGGAGTGCCTGTTTGGCTATAGGAGATTTTGCTTCTTACAAAAGGCATCATAAAGAGAAAGCTACTCTGGCCTGGTGGTCTCAGCCCCTTTTCCTATAGCACATGTACAAGCAGGCATGTGCTCGGGAGAGTGGCTGCTAGATTCTGGTAGCGCCTATTCCCACGCAGCTGTTTTGATATTCACATCAGCTCCTCCATTTAAGAATCACTGCTTTAATCAATTTACCATGACATTTGACTTTCAAAATCCCATTTACATACTGCTTCCCACAGCTCCACTTGGGATATAAAGTACAGATGTACATATCACAAACTATTGTGTGTCATGAGCACCACAACCATCCAGTGAGGGATTTAACATGATAAATACGTGGGATAATCTTGACTTTGCTCAGCTAGGCAGGGCTGGCCAATTCAGAGGCAGACCCCGGGCAAGGTATTTGAGTCTTAATGTCTTCACTTATAAAGTGGGGATAATAAAGCTACCTCACAGGGCTTCCTATGAGATGGTACACATCTAGTGAGTAGAACAATGCCTGCATATTGCAACTGTTCACTAAATCTTACATATTTTGAGCTTTCCTTTAGGATGAATGCAGAACTTCACCCGTATAATATGAGCTAAGAACGTCTTCTCTCATAGGACAGTACCTGATTATCTGTCCAGGGATGAACCAACCTGTATAAACTCGCTCTTCTGGCTCAGTTTGTTCAATGGGCTTTGTTCAGTACCCTTTAAGTGGCCATACAGAATTAGTACCTGATGCTATGGGTTTACCTACTTTCTGGTCTCAGGCACAAGATGACTGGTAAAAGGAGCCGGTTTTCTTGGCTGCGGTCGAAGGAAATGGCGGGGGATTTTCCTGGCTTTGAAAACAAGCGGAGCCTTGCCACAGTCAGGCTGGGCTACTTCTCTGTTCCCTGTGACATCTCCATATGAGCTCAATGAGATTCCTCATTAGCAAGTATTTATCAGCATCATTACCATTTACGGGACACCTGCTTTGGTCTGGGCACTGTGCTGGCTGTGTATGAAGAATCTCTTCATGCTACCTTCAAACGTTCAGAAGAACCTTTCAAATTTGTTACTGTTCAGACTATTTTTGAAATTCAGAGAAGTTAAATTTAAATATGCCCAAATCATACAACAGGAAAGCACGTGAAGGCAGATCTTTTTGATTCTAAACCTTGTCCTCTGCCACCTATTCTGTGTTTCCTCAGAGATAGCAGTACAGGAATTAGCGATCACCAAGTACCTTCTATACACAGAGCACCATAGTAGGGCCAGGAGGGCCAGGGAGAAGTCCAGACACAGGAATTTTTGTGCGAGACTCCTCAGATGGTTATCCTTGCTATCCAGGGGTCTTCAGATTTCAGTATTTCCTCCTAAGAGCTAGGAAGTTTTTCAGAACCAGGCTTCTCTGTTCTCAAAGTTTAAGAAGAGATTGCAGCCAGTGCTTTACAGATCTTTACTTCCCAGGCACAGGGCTCCTCTTGGTGGCTAAGACCCTCAGTGGCTATGACACACGGTGGCTGTGAGCCTCAGCAGGGAAGGTGACCATCTCCTATTCCTTCCAGCTCTGGCAGAGGCGCAGGACATCCACATGCACCTGAGGCCACTCCACCACCACCTGGAAGCCCTCGAGAGCATGGAGTTTCCCGAGGTGAAGCCACGGCTTCAGCCTCTCCTCCACGTGGTCTGTCTCATTTGGGCCACGTGCAAGTCCTACCACTCCCCAGGGAGGCTCATGGTGCTGCTCCAGCAGACCTGCAACCTTCTCATCCAGCAGGTTGGCTGCCCCAGGATCCCAAACAACCTGTCCCTGGGGGCTGGTGCACTGAATCACAGGGAAGAGGAAAGTGTGCAGTTTTTCAGGTCAGAGAATTATGGTGCAAAGGTTCTCACACTTGAATTATGTTACATCACAGCCAATAACTCCCAAAGCTGTTCTCATAGTGCTGGAATACTTGGGAGAACCAGTTTTCCTTTCCCCTCTGCGCAAGCCCTGGGGGAAAGTGAAGGGTGGGGTGGACGAGACGAATTTTGACCTCTTTAATCACCTGTGCCTATGGTCTGGCGTGAAGTCAGCAGCAGTTAGGAATGTTGCCTCTGGAGTCAGGCATCCCTGTGCCAAATACTGTATCACCACTTGGCAGCTGGGTGTGCCCCGGCACGTTCCTTATCTGCTCTGTGCCTCACTCCGTGCTCTGTGCAGGGGTGAAGAGGACTGACCTCAAAGGGCTGCTGCGTGGTTGTGAGGCTCCAAGGAGATCATGTACAGCAAGGCTTACCCTGAGCCCTGCACTGCTGGGAACTCAGTGCCTGTGAGCTACGGAGTAGCTTCTTGGGTCACATACTTCATGCTCTTCCGTCTTAGGAACTCTGGTCGCAGCGGCAGGGCAACATGCACCATGAGGAAGCCTTAATGAGGCTTGAGCAACCTGCCCCTAAAACTGGCTTCTTTTACCTCTAAGGAACTGTAACCCTGAGAAAACAATGAACATGCTTAAAAAGTATCAAATAATAACTCACATCTATGGAGAACATTGCAGGCTGCAAAACCCAGTGGCATTTTCATGATCTCGGTCACTTTCAGATGCACCCTGTGCAGGGAGAGCCTTATGAATTTATTAGTATGATTAAGGATGTGGGCTAAAGCTTAAATTTAACAAATTGCCAAAGGTCAACCAATCCCAGGCCAGAAGCCAGTTCTTGAGCTCCTAGACCCGGACTGCATGTTTAGTAGCCAGGACTTTTTTGGTTGAAAATATAAGGAAACCCAACCAAAACTAGCATCAGTAGAATGATAATTTGTTGGCTCATGCGTAAGACTGGCTTTAGCCCTTAGATGATGCCACCAGGACCCAGTTATTTCTGCCCCTCCCCGGGGTGGGGAAAGTGACTGTCTAAAGTTGCTCCACAGCCTTCCAGGTTCAAGTCTCTTGGAGACAGAGAAACAATTATAGTTCAAAGAATTCTTGCACTTGAATTATTTTACTCTAGAAAACAATTAAATCAGGGACACTTAGGAAAGAACACTGTTCCCTGCACCCCCAGCTGGCCCAAAAGAAGTCTCACTGTGTTTTCTTACTTCTGTCCACTTATACACCCTGAGCCAATCACTGGCAATCTGGCTTGAACCCAGGTCCCAGTCCACCTCTGGAACTGAGGACGGGATCAGGTGCTTCCTGTATTATGTTTCCAAAAAATATTGCTTGCGCTAATCATTCGGTTCTGAGTTGTGGGATGGGAAAAGCTATGGGATGTCCCGTACCTGCCGGCTGGCATAGTGACACTCATCTGTTTAAATTCCAGGCCTCTAATTATCTCAGCCCAGAAGACCTCTTGAGAAGTGAGGTGGAAGAAAGTCAGAGGAAACTGCAGGTCGTTGTGGACACCTTGAACTTCTTCAAGCAGGTGTTTCAGGACCGAAGGGAGAATCTCCATACTTACTTTAAAGAGAACCAGGAAGTGAGGGAGTGGGATTTCCCATCTGCTTTGGTCTTTGTGCATGTGGACGGCTTCCTGGGACAACTGCTCATGGTGCAGGTGAGTGTCTTCGTGCACATCAGGCTCCCAGCTCCATCCAGGAGTGAGTGATCCAGAGTCAAAGAGCAAAAGAGGAAAAGGACCAGCACAACCTGGGGTGACCCTCTGCTGGCGGAACCCAGAATAAGATTCAGTCAGTCTTTGGGTTGATCATTGGACTGACCTCATGTAATGGTGGTTCTGTTAGAAGCTTAGGAAATTCTGTTCATAGACTCATTTAGGAAGAAGGCCCAAGGAATCAGTCAACTAATTAGGCTGTTTTTCAATGTATCCATAATCTTCAAACTTTGTTTCAAATGAACTCTTACTCAGAATTCCATGTGCAAAATGCAGGTGGGCTGATGTGCATGCAGCTGGCTATTCCCACCCAGCCACCGTGTCGAACTTCTCCTGCTATACTCTCTCACCTTCAAGGTGGCTCTGAAAACTGTAAGACTGAATCCCGGTGCAAACGAAACAAGACTTTTGCTAAAAGTTGTGACTTTCCTGCAATTTTTTAAAGGTTAATATGAACCTTAGTTTAAGGGCAGGGTGAGAAAGCATGAGGCTTTTTCCTTTCATTGTTTTCATCCTCAGACTTTAATATGCTTTGCTGGTCTTTTCCTACTTTACAGCTCTGCAGGGAGGGTAGTGGACATAATAAAATGAAATAATAGTTTTCCTAAAACTTACTTGAGAATTTTGTGGTCAAGTTCAAGATTACTACGATAGTCACAGGGACCAAGAAGGAATTAGAATCATGTTTCAGCTGTGATCAGAGATTTGGGATGAAAAAGAGGGGATATGTTGAGAAGAGGCTGTAAGGAGTGGCATAAACAATGGGATTATGAGAATAAGGGTGTATGAGATTGAATGTGTTGGTTTCAGTTCAGGAAGCATTGGTCTAGCACTGGCACTGCCAGGAACAGGGCTAGGAGCTGGGGATACAATGATGGCTGAAACCTGGTTTTGCCTGTAAGAAGCCTGGTTTAGCCAGAAAGCAGGAGAAGGTATACAGACGAATGGAGGAGATCCAAGATGGAAAGACAGGAACCTTCACTGAGGTGCAGTGAATGCCATGATAGAAACTGAAACTGGTGTGCAAGGAATTGGGAGCAAAAACAAGAGGTCCCTGACTGAGAGGGGCTCTGAGAAAGTGTGAAGGGCAAGAGGAAATACGTTTTGAAACTAGAGTAGGAATTCTCCAGAGAAAGATGCTGGGGAAAGGCAGGGAGGCAGAGAAAATGTGTAAGTGAGAAAGCCGGAAGCTAGGTCTTAAGAAAGGCTCACCTTAAACCCTTCTCCGGATCATGGCAAGTGTAAATAATTGATATATAGCTTTATCCTAAATGCCTCCTTTTTCTGCAGCTGTTTCCATCACCGCTCGCTTGTGTTGCGCAGCCTCTCCCCTCCCCGTCCCCATTCCTCTCCTCTCCTACGTCAACCCCTCCACTGAGGGCTAGCCCAGGGCAGAACCTCCCCCTCCAGCCTGTCCTCCTGCAGCCACCACAGTGGAGGCGCTGCTGGCCTTGCCTGGCAGCCGCCCTGGGAGGGGAGGGGAGCACAGCTCCTAAATGACTGTTGGCTGGAGCACACCTTACCCTGTGCACACGTGCTAATGATGTGACTTTGCATATAGACAGCTCTTCTACCATGGGGGCCCCTAATCTGCTGGGTATATTCAGTAAATATAAGCAGCGCCAGCCCCCAGTCTCCCCCGGGTCATTACCCTCACAATAGCTGTCTCAAAGGCTGCTGTTTCTTTCTGAATCAAGGGCATGGATGTGTAAAAAGCAGTGGTCCCAGTTTACTCAGAGGATGACTTGAATGTCACCACTCTCTCTGTTGCTCTGCTGCTTCCTCTCCTGAGTTTCCCCTCCTTTGCTCTGGTTTATTTCCTTGCTCTTGGGCCAAATGCCACCATTTCTTTTCTCTACTGCTTTTGGCTCTCCTTCTCTTCTACTTTGTTTCCTTCGCTTTCTTTCTCTCTCTTGTTTTGTTTCCCCTTACCTCTGTGGTTCACCCTGAATTTCCATGCTTTTCCTTTTTCCTGTGGCTGCTCCTTTCCCCGTCCTGCTATTTCCTCCTGTCTTTCATGGTCCATCTCCCAAACCCATGTTCCAGCTCACCCCCCCTGCCGCCTGGCTCCCCATCTCTTCCCTGCTCAGCCCAGCGCAGTGGACACAGGCTATTGATTACCCAAACATATTTCATGCAGCCCTTTAGTTAACATTCTGTGTATCTCTGTGATCAATGCCTGTTTGAAATGGGATTAATCTGCTTCTGTGCAGCAAGAATTAGGATGAACCCAGCCTTATTCATACCTCTTGCTGTTCTAACGCATCCAGTATGTGGCTGCCAAGATGTGGGCAGCTGCAATTAACAAATACACGAAGCCAAGTTAATAAAATGACACGGATGCATTTATGCTTCTGCATGTTTGTGTCCAGGGCTATGTTGTGAAGGGCTGGTTTTCATCTCCTTAGTTCTTTTGGCCTTTTTTCCCCCTGATTTGTGTTGTTTTTCCTCTCTCTCTCTCTCTCTCTTTCTCTCTCTCTCTCTCTCTTTTGCTCTTGCTCTTTTATTCAAAAAAGCTTTATTTTGCAGATTGCCTCTTCCCTCTGGGTGCCTGCTAAAAGGAAGTGGGGTGGGGTAGGGTGGAGTGGGGTGGGGAGGGGGCCACTCGGCAGGTCTGCCCTGTGTGGAGTTGCTGCGTTCTCAGGATACCATCCTCCTCCTCTGCATCCCAGCCATGACACAGCTCATTTCTTACAGAGCCAACCCTTGAGGAAGGGAAAGAATAGGGGAAAAAAGAACTAACATGTTTCAAGAACCCATCTCCAGCCTGTATCCTTACGGTCATCAAAAAATCGAGTTATTGATACCTGCACTTTAAGAAATGAGTGCGGTTGAGAATGACACATACATTAACATGCTCACAGTTCCTCAGCTGAGGTTGGTGTAGCTAAGTTTGTACCCAGAGGCTTGCGGCTGTGTGGATTGTCTCCCCGCCTCACTCAGCTGTCTCCCAGGGAGTTCTCAAGGTCCTCATCCATCCCCTGCCCTGTGAATGTCCCAGGCTGGTTCTCTGGTTCCATCTGCCCTTGTTCATTCTGCCTTTGCACACTCTATTTTTACCACATGATGTCTGGATCTCTTTTCCTAAATAAACCATTTGGTTTAAATTATCATTCCCATTTAATGAGAGGGCCTTGTTAGACTTGATGACTTACTTAGGAAATCGCCAAAGTATATAAAATCTTTGTAATTTGAATGAATAGTCAAAAATCTAGGGGAAAAGAGTCATTCAGCTGCCTCTTGAATCCTTCCTTCACGCTTCAGGCTTGATTCTCCAGCACACACTCACATTCACACATACCTCACACACCGTGCCACACACACACATGCACCGGGCACAGCTCCTATGAACACACATACCACACCTGTGCACACAGATCACCACCTGTGCACATGTGTGCTGCACATACACATACCCACAACACATACATACACGCAGACCACATATACCACCACCACCACCCCCTGGATACATACATACTCACATCACACACCCACACAGAGTTCATTTTTGTGCCATAATATTATAGATGCCGCAGATCCCCTGTTTATGTTTCTGCCTGCAGCCTCCTCCCTCCAAACAATGCAGTAAGCAGCTTGGAGAGAACCCTTATTTCTTTCATTATAAAATTGCTGTAAAGCTGTGATTCACTTGGAGACAAAATGATTTCCTGCTGAGGCTTTATCTGAGGTGATTAGCAGGGAGATAGGTAGGTAATAGGCTGACCTAATATACCCCGCTTTTTCCTTTGCTTTTTCCACCATCTCCAGCCACTCTGCTTCCTTTCATTCCGGGCCTAATTGGGATGGCTTCTCTTTCAGGCTGCCCTAAGTGTGTGGTCACGTAGGAGACCATTAGCTGCATAAGGTCGGCCTCTGTCCAAGGGTAAAGAGAACAGTCTTTTCCCCAACGACCTTTTGAGATTTTCATCTATGAATGTCAGCTTTGTGCTCTCCCTTAATGAATTCTGGAGACATTTCTTTTAAGCTGTGGTATGGCCTCTCCTTCCAGAATGGGCTTGTGTTTGCGGGACTTGTCATTATTCCTGATTTTGATTCTCTGCCCCATGGGCCATGGCATGAATGGAACTTTCCCCCACCACCCCCTCTAAAGGTTGTACAGCTTTTCATAAAAATAGAACCTACTGGGTCCAGTCAGCCGCCTGGGACCCTGTGCTCTTTGTGGCATCCATCTGGAAACGCACACCTGTTTATTAGCCATGATCCACCTTTCATCCATCACCAGATCAAATGACATCAGGGTAAAGATAGTTAATTACGGTGGCTACTGTTTACTGACGTCACACCAAGGCAGTCTGCATATAACTCAGTAACCCCATGGCAAGTTGGGAATTGAGCCCATCTACAAGTTGGAAAATAAGTGTCTTGCTTTAAGCCATATAAACCCTGGGGACTTTTAGCCCTTGATCTGGAGCACCTTCCACAAGGCCTACACCCCTGAAGTTGACATTTTCAGCCTGTATATACCACAGTGAATTTCATGTGTTTACTACTGTGATGAATAAAAATGGATATTTTAAAAATACCATTTAAACCTCCTATTGGTGTAAATTGCCTTTTATCTTCCTTGTGAGGACTTCTAAATAAAAAATGAGAAGAACTTACATTTAAATATTTTAAGACACAAAGATATAGTCACCATCATGATGAATCTGTTTCTGCAGTTGTAAGACAGTTTCCTGCCTGATTCAGAAATCTTCTCTATAATACTTCTGATGTCAAACTTCTGCTAAAATCCATCCTCATAAGGACAGCTTACTACCTCTCTTAGCAGCCCATTCTACAGTTGGACATCTCTGGATATCAGATGGTTCTGTCTTATTAAGTGGAAGACCACATGAAATTGTCATTTCTTGTAGGTCAAAATGGTAAACTACAAGAAATATTAGAAGTTTAGCCTCCAAGTTGAGCCCGAACTTGCTTCCTTGTCCTGTTCACCCATTTGCCTTAGTTCTTGCCTCAGAGAAGCACCACATGAGGTTCTTCTACCTTGAGCTTTTGGCCAAATGCTTTTGAAGGTGCAGTTCAGCCTTGGTTTAGAATTCTCTCCTCTTGTCTAGTTTTTCCTATTTTCTCCAATTGCTCCTGAGATCATGGTTCCTAGATTTTCTACCACCTTTTCACCTTCTAGAGGTACTACTGTAGTTGTTAGGGTTCAAAGATCATATGTTCATTCATTCCACAAATAATTCTTCAGTGTCCAGGACTCTTCCAGGGACTGAAGGGGGCTAAATAATATATTATAATGCCAGAGCATGGTAAGAGCTCTGGAGAAAGCTTAAGCAGGGCAACGGGGCACAGAGGGTCCAGAGGAAAGAAGGAGTAGGATGGGAGGCTCATTTAATAGGGGAGTAAGGAAAGGTCTCAGACCTTGAATTGAACCTCAGGTAAATGTGTTGCCCATCATGTGTTTGTTAAGTTACATAAAGTAATGTAAATATGTGTTCTTTTTGGTGATAGAGTTTCTCCCAAAATAGAATGATTAAATAAACATTTCTCTAATATCTATGATATATCTGTTAGATTGGAGATGGAACACCTCCCAGTGACCAGCCAAAACCATGCCTTAAGTATTCCTGAGAAAAAAAAAATAGTGTAATAAAATTATAGTCTAGTTTTCTGATGTAATCAAACATATCAAGATGCATCTGTCTTTTAAAATGGTTAGAGAGTATTTCCTAAAAATTGAAATTGACATCCATGGGATGATGAAAAATTGGTACCCAGGTGACATTCCATGGCAGGCACAAATACATTTCTCCTGTAACACTGATTCCAACTAAGCACTTGTTAAATGACTTAATTACTACTTAAGTCAATATCACTTAAGTAAAATTCATTTCAGCTTTCTTCCCAGTATATAAAGTTGAACGTGTTTTTAAATAAAGACTGACCCATTTCCCACGATCAGTGGCAAGAGCCTCCAGTTTGGGTGTATATCTTCCTTTGCTAGGCTGGTTCTTTCTTCTCGCTCACTTCAGCTACTTGCTGATAGCCATTCCTGAACATAGCTGAGCTAAAAAGCATTGCCAGGTGGCTTCCCAAGATTGCCTGCATGCCCCCTGCCAACCTGGGGCAGCCACTTCTTACCACTTCCCAGTGCCTCTGTCACTTCTATTGAAGTTGGTGTCCCCACAAGAGAAAGGAGCTGGGCAGCCCTCTGCAAGCCTGAGGGGTCACCTGTTGGCAGTGGCCATGGGCAGAGGGCATATCCCAGGACCCTGTGGGGTTTTCAGCATCGTGACACAGTGTTGCTCTTTCTTGCCCTTCAAAATTCCTCAGAGCAAAAGACCCTCTCCTAGGGGCCCCACCACATTTGCCAAAATCACACAAAGGTAACTTTTATTTCCCTCCCTCCTATTGAAGAGGCATGCTCATAGGCTGGAATTTGTAATGGGAAGAACATCTTTGTTTGGAGGTTTTTACGTGAGATGTAAACACAATCTGTCATGTGAGTGTGTTCTGGAGGCTGCTGCCCTATCAGCTCTTTCGGTGGACTTGGGAGGGTTTCTTCCCAAGGCTTTGGGTTGCACTGTCCACCTTCACTTTATTCTGAGCACAGCCGGGACACTGGCACGTCAATAGCAGGGATAATAATACACACTTACTGGGTATTTACTGTGTGCCAGGCACTGGTCTAAATTCTAAGCCTGTGCTGACTTACTTACCTCTTACTATTATTATCCCTTTCCAGATGAAGAAACCCAATGCAGAGACATCAAGGAATTGCCCACTGTTACCCAGCTGACTGTGGGGCGTATCACACTGCATGTACTTGGCAAGAACAGCCTGCAGGTTTCTTTTCTTGCTGAGAACTATTGGAAAGATCTGCTTTCCTCTCAATATCCCTCAAGATAGCTGCCATTCTAAAACCAGATACAATGGGCTTTTTTAAATAGAGTTAAAAAAAATCAGTAGTAAAGCCACCAGTTACGTAACGATGTTACTATATTTTAGAATTTATAAGAGAACACAAAAAAGAAACAGGTATAAATCTGATTTTTTGTTTGTGTGAATTTTATCTATCTGTACTTTCTCTCTGCTTTGCAACTGAGTTTAACCAGGAGTTATTTATAACCACTAAATCTAATAAGGTTACAAAACTTATCAGGCTTCACATTTTCCTAAGCAACCATCACCCCCACATGATTCCTAGCTCTTCCCATACTAATCTGAGTGTTATCTGCTTTTGTTATCATCATAATTATCATTATTATTTTAATTCTTTTATGAATTGTTCTTGTAGGATCTTCTGAACACAACCTTGGACTTCCACAAACTGGGAAAGCTTGAATTTAGTGGCATCAGAGGGAAAGCCCTGAGTCAGCAGATTCAGCAAATGTACGAGGAATTTCAAGAGATGTACAGGGTCTTCTCAGAATCTTCTTATGACTGCTTGGACCCCCAAAGCACGGTAGGACTGGGAAGGGCCCACCTGCAAGCTTTTCTCTCTCAGATGCCTCCAGCCTGTAGAGTCTGGGTATTCCCTTGCATTTTTCCTGTGCACTTCCTTTGGCTCCAGAGTCCATGGTTTGACCAAAAAAGACCACTCCTAATTATTCTTTGTGTTGGGAGAAAGGTCAGGGAGGGCCCTTCCAGCTCTCGACTATTCCAAGGTTTCAGGCATGCTGAGATGAATATAGGGTGATCTCAGAGGCCCCAGCTGCAGGTTGCTCTGCCGCTTTCAAAGCTTTAAGCTTCCAGCAGTGACTGCTACACAAAGGCGAGGCATCCCTGGGCAGAGTTTTATTCATGGAGTGGGGAGGCATAAGTGATACAGTCGTTTCTTATCTGTTTTTCTGATCTAACCCTTGCTCCCAAGAGAGTAAGCCCTCAAGAAGGCCAGAGTTTTCCAGGATTGGGACACAAGAATCCACATCTTACCTGCAGCCCAGGGACTCTCAGACCTGTGAGTGCAAGTCCGAAGTAGAGACAAAGATGCAAAAGGGCCAGTACCAAGCAGCAGACGTAGACCAAGCTCCCTGAAGAGGGAGTGGCTAGGTTACAGGAGAAGGAATTTAAAGAGCACGTGAGGGGAAGAAGGAGGAAACTGGAGGCTTGGAGCACCTTCAGACAGCGGGAGATTTTAGTTGGCCAAACCCCATAGTCACCAACTTCCTAAAAATTCCATTAATCTAAAGAAGGAAGGAAAAAAAAAGGTGGACTACAAAGCAGAATATATTCCATGTGTTTCCTAACACTATGGTAAAACAAAACAAAACAAAATTCTAGGCATAGGGAAACATACTACAATGTTCATGTGGCTGGGCTAGGACGGTAGGAAAATACTATGTTTTTAATTTTTCTTTGTCTTTTCATAAGACTATGCATTCCTGTTATAAAGCAATAATAGCCAATAATAATCATTCCACAAATTAGAGGTTTGAGTTAACAAAGTTTCTCTGAAAATTGCTACATTCTAAAGAAAACAGCCTTTAGGTTGCCAAATGAAATGCAGTAATTGGGGCATGCTCATACTACAAACGGTATTCAGTGATCTGAAATTTAAATACAAACGGTATTCAGTGATCTGAAACTTAAATACAGCTGTGTGTCCTGTATTTTTATTTGCTGACTTTGGCAACCTCAGAAACAATGGCTAGCTGCTGTCTCAACCAATTCAGATGCACTTAGAAGAAATGATGTGAATTAGTTTAGTAACATTGTTCCTCATGGCCAGATTAGTTTGTTTACAGTGAAAAAATAGGATTTTGACTCAAGGGAGGAAGGAAAGCAGATGGTTAGGATGGAATAACCCTGTGGCTGGGGCTGTTGTGCTGAGACAGCCCTCACAGCAGCACGAGCTGGGGCTGTGGGTGACAGAGAAGGGGCTTCAGGAGGGGACAGGTGACACAGAAAGGGAGGTGACAGGGTGCTGGCCTCACACTTGACTCCCTTTGTCCTTTTGTCTAGAGTATCTGGGGACAAAAATGCTGCAATCATAGGGTAACTGATGACCTACAGGTATAACAACTAAATCACACCAAGGCAAATTTTAGAAAATTAAAATAAATCCTTGGTATAACTGACTGAAATACAATGGTTGATAGTAAAGAGCATAGTGGGATTGGCCTTTAGAAAATGTTTTCCTTATGTCCATATGCTGTCTCTTTAGGAATTTGAAAATGATGTGTCTGAATTTAACCAGAGAGTAGAAGATCTCGACCGAAGACTGGGGACTATCTTTATTCAGGCCTTCGATGACGCGCCCAGTTTGGAGCATGCCTTTAAGGTTTGTGCGGTCGCATGGACCCTATGCCTGATTCTTCCCCCACCCTCATTCAAGGAAAGTAAGGATGCTCTTCCAACTGTTTTGTTCCTGGTATTAATTAATTAATATCAGATATTAATTGTTCCTGATAGTTCATTGTGGGTGTCCTGGGGCCAGGAAGTATGCAGAACTGGGTTTCTAAGGTTGATTACAAATGCATTTCTGTAAACATGATGAGGAAGAAATATTTTTCAAAAGTTTCTTTTGGAACGGGCTCTTTGGGCCTTATCAGTAGGATGCCCATTAGAAGTGAAGAAGTCTACTGGTCACTGTCCTGAAACTGTGGCTGTGCAGGACAAGTGGCTACTTAATCACTGCTGTCAGGTTGGTTCAAGCTGGAACAAACCACCTGCCATGTAAATGCTTATATAGTTCAAGTACAAGTAACTAGACTAAGAAGACCTGTGTCCTTGCCCTATGATGCCCAGATCAGATGGTACAAGCACATGAAGGGGAAGGTTTAGGACGATGAACAGATAAACAGCTGCATAACTGAGAATTCTGAGGCATGAGGCATGAAGATGTAGTAGAACATGATGTCTTCTATGGACTATGAGGAGACCTATTCTGTAAAGCCTTAAGGATTAGAACCAGAACTAATCAGTGCAAGTTGCAATGAGCAGATTCTGGCTCAACAGAGGAAAGAGATTTTTGTCAAAACTGCTCAAAGATGGAATAGACTTCCTTGAGAAGTTAAGTTTCAAGTCATTGAAAATATCTCAAACATAGAGTGGATGAATGGAGGACAATTGAAGAACAAGCTTAAACTCAGTTTGAGTGACCCTATGCTCTTCTAGAATACTGGGGCCCCCAAATTGCCAGGTCCATTAGCCACTGAGGGTGTTGAGTGTGTGTGTGTGTGTATGTGTCTCCTTTAATAAATACCTGCTACCTGCTGTTCCATAACTTGCATAGGAAGACTCTTGGGACTCCTCTCTCCAAGCATTTGTTAGTTCTTAGAAATTTGTCAGATGTTTGTTGGAATTGGTTCTCTCTGAAAGTTTTTCTTGCTCCCACTCTCAGACTTTAGCCTTCTAAATTCTCCCCAACATCCAGCCCACTTAGCCTTTTTTTTTTTTGCCATATCCATTTTCACCCTCCTTCTCTATTTTCGGTCATATTTTATGTAGATCAGCTTAACCTTTCTGACATTTCTAGTTTTCTCTTTGTTTTATCCTTTATCCAGATTCTTCCAACCCAAGAGGGTCTGGTAGGTAATTCAACAGATAGGAGTCCTTCTTTAGAAGCAAAGGACAGGGGGGCAGACTATGAATACCCACCAATTAATGATTATTGATCCAGTTGCACAGTAACAATTTCCTGAATCCCTTACTTTGGTAGGCATGTGAAAGAAAAGCCAGAGAATAAGATTTATACAACCAAAGAAAGGTTGAATCTGTGACTTTCTCCTCTTCTTTCTCCACCTCCTCTGCAGCTCATAGACATAGCAGGAAAGCTCCTTGAAAGAACACCAGTAGCACAGGATGTAGCTGATAAATACCTGGTGCTCATCCAAATGTTCAACAAAGACCTGGATGCAGTGAGAATAATCTACAGTCAGCATGTCCAGGAGGAGGCAGAATGTGGTAGGCTTGATGCCAGGGGATGGGGTGTGAAAGGGGAGGTTCCATTCCTGGGAAGGGTGCACTTCACTCCTATTGTATTTATTAACTGTTCACTGTGTATCCATGACGTTTCCAAGAAAAGCAAGCACAGCCTTCTTACCTGAAGTTCCAGACCCTCTTGGGTGATTTTAGAGTGCACTGAACTGCACATTTCCCTGTGTCTGGGGCTGAGATTGGCAGGCTGATGCAGAGCAGTGACATCTTGATGGCTTCTAGTTCATTGAGACCTTAGCATAATGTATGAGTTGACCCTTGATCCATGTTGCCACATTAATTAATCTCCAACATACCTCAACACACAACAGATTTGCACATGCCTGAGAAAAGTTGCTGATCCCTTCCAGTGCCATAGCAACCATGCTTCTGTGGGGAGGAACCAGCGGGAGCCTGACAAAGGGTGGTCCCACGCTGAGATGTGATGGCTCTATTTTTATTGCAGTTCTTAATCTTATCTGTTTGAAAGTTAAACACAAGATCAGTTCAGTTTTACAAACATTTCTTGGATCTTTGCTGTATGCAGGACACATTTGTAGACACTGTATGCAGAGGCAGGCCATACTAATGGATAGACTACTTAATACCAAAAGGTAGTCCTTCAAGGAACCCACCATCCCTGAACAGAGTTAACAATAACACATAGCAGATTATAAGTAGTGCTCGATTTGAGTCCTAAAGAACCATAACAAAACAAGATGAACTGTGGCTCGAAGATTCAAGGGAGAGTGTGTGGAGGAGGTGGCAAGAGGCAGAGCCCTGAAAGGGGGCATGGGCAGCCCAGGCCTCTAAAGCAAAGACAGGGGAGGATGCAGAAGGTGCCCAGTCAGACCTGCTTTTAGCCAAGCAAGGTGTAAGGAGAGAGATTAGGGCAGCCCTGGAATTTGGACTGGGTTGTGAAGTGCTCTGAGTACCATATTAAAGAACCCAGAATTCACTATTCTGGCAATGGGAAATCATCCGAGGTTTTTAAGTATTGGAGTAGCAGGACCACTGTCTATAAATAGGTTTCATAGTGTGGCTATTAAGAATGCTTCCAGTTAAGAAGCTATTCTCAGGAAATCTGTTGGCCTCTGCTTTATGTGGGATAACCCTCATGACTTCATCCAGTCGAATATGGAATTCAAAACCTAGGATACCTTCAGAGGCCCTATTAGTTTTCCATTCCTGCCTGTCATCTCAACCTAGTGTCTTAAAACCACACACGTCACTCTTCTACAGCCCCACTTGGTATGCCTTGGTTCTCCACTCAGAGTATCACAAGGCTGGAATCAAGGTATCAGCCAGGCCGAGTTCTCATCTGAAGGCTCAAGGGGGACAAACCACTTCTGAGCCCATTCTTGCTGGTGGAATCCAGGTCCTTGTGGCTGTAGGACCGAGGTCTCCATTTCCTTGTTGACTGCCAGCTGGGGGCCACTCAGCAACAGAAGGAGCTCCCATTCCTTACCAGCTGGCAAGGCTCTGTAGCTGCCTCCATCTTCAAACCAGTAAATCTTTCTCATGCTTCAGATCCCTGACTTCCTCTTCCGCCACAGAAAACTCTGCTTTTAAGGGCTCAGCTGATTAAGACAGGCCTGCAAGGAGCCTCTCCCTTTTGCCATACAAGATAACATCTTCACAGGAGTGACCATCTCACTGTATTCAGAGCTGCTACCCACACTGCAGGAGGAGAGGATTATGCAAGGATGCAGTATCATCCTAGAATTTTGCCTACCTTGGGGGCCAAGCAGAAAAATGGCAGTAATGGATCTGGGCTGAGCATGAGACATCAGAGTGGGGATGTCCAGGGTAAACTAAATGAAGGGGCCCCGTTCAGCTTCACTTGCCAGTTGGAAGTGGCTGCTGATTGTTGCCAGATCTTCCAATTTTATAAGGG